GAATGGAAATCTAAGTTAAATATTCTGTTCATGTTCAGTGAGAATGCGAGGAGGATAAAAAGTTTCACGGCGAGTTAAATCCAGCGATTAAATCCATATTTTTTGAGCGTTTTGTTCAGTTCGTAATTGAAAAGAGTAAAAAAATGAAGGCCTCGGTGAAAAAGCTGCCGTGATGTCCAGTGTGGAGAGTTAATTGGATGGAAAATTAACATGCAAAACATCATCGCTATTCAACATTTTCGAATGAAAAAGTTTCAAGTCGGAAGAATACCTGTAAAATGCTGCGCCGAATTAAACGGAGAGTATGAAAGAAAATTAACAAGTTCAGACGGCAGCTTCCATAGATACAAGTAGTAGCAGTTTTTATTTTATTTTTATTCGCCGCTCTCAGCCGTAGTGAAAATTATAGCGGATAGTAGCGGTTGAATGAGACAGAAATTACGTGGAAATTAATTATTTTACGTTTTGGAGTTCTACACGCGGAGTTTTCCGAGCGATGGAAATACAAAGAGAAGAAGAGGAGCAACAGAGGGGTGGCTGTGAGGGAGTTGAAAGTTCCGTAGAAAAATCCACAGACAGAATTCGTAAAGTTCAACGTTTGCGGAATGAGTGGGGAAGTTGGATGGTCTTTTTGACGTAGCGAATTATTCACAGAAACGAATCGATGAGGTGGGAGCACGATCGCCAGTTTGACAGGATGGTAAATCACTGAATTTCCCATGGGTTTATGAAGTTAAAAAAAAGTTCGAAGAAAGAAACGGGCTTTGAGTGGAATCTTGTCTCCTACAGGTTCATAACTTTCTTACCGGTTAATATCGAGCGCAGCACCTCAAAAACAGTTTGAGAAATGAAAACTACGAGGGGAATAAAACTAACCGGATTGTGACTAAACAGCGAATCAGCAAAATTTGATTCTTTTATTTCATTAATAATGTTTTCGACACTGAATAATTATAATTTGAAGTTCTCTCATCCATGTTAACAACATTCTAGCCCTAATTCCCTGTTTAGCGTGCTAACCGGTAAAAGTGAAGGATAAAAGTTCAAAGCATTGTTCTACCGAATGTCTTGGGAGAATTTCACGAAACGTTGCTAATTATTTTAAATGTATTTCTGCTTTCTCTTTCGATTGCGAAATTAAAGTACCGGCCCCACCCAGACTATGCACTGGAAAAAAAAAACACATTGGATCTAGAGTCCAGACTCTTAAAAACAGCGACAAGAAAAAGTGCTCTTGATTCAGTCAGAATCTAGCTTGAATCAAGAACCAAGCCTCATAATTTAAGCGGATTTCGTTTTGATTCAAGAAAAAATCCGATTAAATCAAGAGTATTTTTTCTTGTCAATGTTTTCAACAGTCTGGACTCAAGGTCCAATGTGTGTTTTTACCAGTGTGCAGCCCATTAATTCGCGATTTCAAACACGCCAAATTTTTCTTCTCCTTTTTGTGAAAAAGTTCATATCAATTGCCTCCACCAAATTGCGCATTTCTAATTTTTTTGTGTGCTACTTATCATAATACGCATGGATTTTCAAAATACTTTTTTGAGAAATAAACATATGTTGAATATTTTCTAATCCAATGAGGAAGTGATAGAAAATCCTTCAGAAATCTTTCTAGTCCTTTGGTTCGCTGATAAAATTACCTGTGGCATTATTTTTCGATAGGGGATCTCTATGAACTTGTTAAGGGCACTGAAAAAATGAGGAAACGATGTAGCTATTAGCGACCACGTTCGTTCAAGACACAGGTCAATTATACTCATCTCTCTGAGTAAATGTCATTTTTGAAAAACCACATGATGCTCTGCATGTTAAGCAAGTATATGTATGCTCCTAAAACTCTCCTCATCAATAAATAATTCTTCCCTAGGAAATTTACTAAAATTCGGTATGCGGTACTATGTACTTAAACCAAAGGTATTTTTCCCTTTTTCCGTTTTGTCAAGTCAGCAGATGTACCACAAACTTTCAAGAGATCTATGCGGAAATTCGTGGTGACTTGGCCGCAAAGTTACTCCCGGATTCGTTTACTTACGTGTCTGGGAGCCCGCGGTTCAGAATACGGGAGGGGCGCACAGTGGATCGAGTCAATAGGAGAGGTCGGACAAAATTTGGAAGCTTTAAACTCTTTTAACTCCATTTATACAAAATTTTGAGGTTTTAAAATTAGTTTCATTGCGGTTTTCTCTTAAAATTTTCTTCTATAAGCACCTCTTGAAATTTAAAATGTTACAAAATAAACATCATAATTTGCAGTTCACTGGGGAAAAAAACACATTGGATCTAGAGTCCAGACTCTTAAAAACATCGACAAGAAAAAGTACTCTTGATTCAATCAGAATCTAGCTTAAATCAAGAATCAAGCCTCTTAATTCAAGCGAATTTCTTTTTGATTCAGCAAAAATCCGATTGAATCGAGAGTATTTTTCTTGTCAATGTTTTCAAGAGTCTGGACTCTAGATACAATGTGTTTTCTTTTCCAGTGTTTTAGTCAAAAGTTTCATGCCTGACCTCTCCGATTGACTGGATCCACTGTGCGGCGCGTAGCGGGGAGCCATTAATCCTAACGAATCATCTAAATTCAAGATATTCGGAGGTACAGCTCGGCGCATAGGTAAGCAGGGGTGGATCAGCAAACAAGTGTTCAGCGAAATGAGACATTATTCCGAAAGAAGTTTCAAATCGGGGCACTCGGATACTCTGTAAACAATGTATAATGTTCTACGCTGAAAAATTGGGAGCCGCAAGAGTGAAATTTAAGGCCCGCCCGCACGTGGAGGAAAAAGCTCTTCGTTTTTTGATATCCCTCCTGTTCAGCTGCTGTTGCCGGAACAACAGTTACGCAAATGTCACTCGCAGAATATCTGCTCTGTTTCCTTTTCCCACTCCTTTTTTTCCTTTCTTCCTTTTATTTTCATCTTAATAAGCAGTTTCTCGGTTTAATATCATACACTGGAAAAAAAACACATTGGATCTAGAGTCCAGACTCTTAAAAACATCGACAAGAAAAAGCACTCTTGATTCAATCAGAATCTAGCTTAAATCAAGAACCAAGCCTCTTAATTTAAACGGATTTCGTTATGATTCAAGCAAAAATCCGATTGAAGCAAGAGTATTTTTTCTTGTCCATGTTTTCAAGAGTCTGGACTCTAGATCCAATGTGTTTTTTTCCAGTGAGCCATTATGGCAGTAGTAAGCTTCAATTTTTACCATATAATTGCAGACCATAATATGCAAGCCTGACCTCACTAAGCCTAGCAAATAGAAGGCCCTGCAAATTCTTCGCCTCTGGGGATTCGCTAATCAGACAATTCTTAAAAAACATGAATTATCAAATCTATAACGACAAAATATACGAGGGTAAATAATACAAAGATGGCACTCAGCTGACCAAGTATTTTAAGGACTCCATACCACGGGTTCTCCGCCGGATAAACTCTATTTATAGGGACATTTTTTTCACAAGATAATAATTTACAAAGTAATACATTTATGAACTATCTTAATGTTGAACTTATTCACCAAACAAGACCAAGTTTGACAAGTATGAATTTTTTTTTTTTTTTTTTTTTTTTTTTTTTTCCCCCCTGCTAGTTTAATGGATTCGTGTCTAGTACCTTCAGCCAACTTTAGACAATGTTTTGTGTCCGTAGACATCGTGGGTTCTCCATGCTCCAGGCTTTTCTAATTTTCAGGGATTAGGGTCGAGGAGAATCTGTTTCAGCAGATCTACTCGTCAATTCCGTGAAAATTAGACGCCACCACCGGGATTCGAACCCGGGACCTATTGACCTTGAGTCAGACCCGCTGACCACTAGGCCAATCTGGCCGGCAAGTATGATATTCATCCAGTAATCATTCTTGGCCTACACATAGTCTATAAAGTCACGCGACAATGGAACCATAGATCTCTGAGGGCGGTCTTCAAAAGTTGAGGGCAGGTGCAAGATTAACAAATACAGCTATATCATGAACTTGGAAGCTTAGAATCAACGACAACAATGAACTTAAAGCGGACTCTTGCGTTTCAAAACGAAGGACTGAACAAAAGTATTCAAATGGGATTTCAAATATTATTAGGTGCCGCCAGCGTGAGAGAATCTACTCTGGGTCTAACTTCTAATCCGTCTTATAACTTTTATTCGTCTTGATGGCTCTACGAGGAGAATAAGAGATGTCTCGAGTTTTATTAGCAACGGACGCGTCCAACATCGAAATTGCTTTCGAGATCTCAAATTTTCATTTTCATTTTGAAACTGATGAGCATTTGCAAACTTCTTCTTTACTAAGCGCATCATATTCTCGTACTTTAAGACCTATCCGTGAAAATACTTTCATTCTATGCCCATTTTTTTGTAGTTAAGGCTTTCTTTCATGACTGTCACGACGTTTCACTCAGTTGTTTGGAAACGAAACTCTCAAGCCCAAGTAGCGCAGATTGCAATACGTAGTAACTGCATAGTAAAAAAAAATACACTAAAAATATTGCAATTCCACTGAGTGTTGTGTATGTTGCCTAGCTCCTATTTGAAGGGGTCCCATTTATTGAAGCTTATTGCATTAAAATGAAATTAGTTGCAATTTTTCATTCCATTGCATATTGCCTATCTCTCTAACACATACTGCAATGTAAAAATATTGCAATTCCACTGAGTGTTGTGTATGTTGCCTAGCTTCTATTTGAAGGGGCCCCATCTATTAAAACTTATTGCATTAAAATGAAATTGGTTGCAATTTTTCGTTGCATTGCATATTGCTTATCTTTCTAACACACGAAGCTCATTTTTTTGATTGTTTAAAATTGGCATAAATCGACGAAATGATGTATAAATATTACAAGTTAATTTTAAAAAAATGCAATTTTATTGAAAACAAATTGGAAAATAATTTCAATATTTTCGTTGCACTGTGCTACTTGGGAGTAAAGTGCTTCCGAAATAGCGTAACTCTCTCTTATCGTCGGACTCCAATTTATTTGGGTTTTGTTATTTTTCCTTTCCAGTTGTCGACTGCGAGGTTTCGTCATGGGAACCTTGGAGCGAATGTGATGCCGACTGCGGAACAGGCATGATGACGCGCCGTCGGGTGGTGGTGAGACAGCCCGAAAATGGAGGCAAGCACTGTCCGTCTCTGGTTCAGAAAAGAGGCTGCCTTGGGTCTCAGTGTCCGCACGATCCCAGGAGTGCTCTGAAAGGTGGGTTAAAAAACAATTTGAATCAGTCTACTCATCCAAGAAATGCTGATAAATTATATTTTCTGCATGGTGGTGAAATCGCTCGAAAACCATTCGATGTGTTTGTAAATAAATGTTGATATGCGCTCGTCAACGTATTTAAGTTAGGTTTTTGACATCTCTCTTTGAGCATACCTTGTTTAAGACCAAACCAAATAAAGGGCCGGAGGCTGCCGAAAAATCTCAAAATGTATGATTTGTACAACGCATTTTGTGCTTCAAGGAGTCGATTTCGGACTTTTTGGACGCCCTCATCGCAATTTTCAGATGATTTACAATTCTAATAGTTCATCATTTGTCTTTATATCTTTGTGTATACACCATGCAGACCCGCTCCTTTCAAAACTAGTTGGATTGTGTATTCATCATTATTATCGTTATTAAGGGTAAAGCGTTGTTACACATGACTGGTAAGTCTGTAAATGGATCGAGAGGACAAATGCTCCGTTCCTCGGAGCAAGAACTTTTCCGAGAAGGTTCTCAGGAATCCCGGAACGGAATCCGCTTTTCCCGAAACAGTGACTCAAAAACATATACCTTCACTCAGTATTAACACGCAATTTATGGAATGTCCTTGGGGGAATCCCAGCTTTCATTCGCGGAATTTTAGTTGAAAACATCGATCCATACTTAGCACTCACTTCAGGTTTAAAAGTTGAGGAGTATCTTTTCGGATTTTGAGGACGAAATGAGAAGGACATTTGAGCTGTGGCTTTGCAGGAAAAATATTTGAAGCAAGTATAGGGCATACGTATGCATTGCGTGATATCCTATTGGAGTCTTGAATATGTACTGTGTAGTCTGAAGCAGGTGAAACTGCTTGTCATCAATACTAAATTTTGGATACTTATTCCCTGAATCAAGGGGTAGTAATTTCCGAGCAGAAATACGTTGCAACTTTTCCGAAAAGATAGTTTTGAAAGCGTGATAGTTTCACAAACATATCTCCAGAAAAAGAAATCATTGACGATCGATCAGTAACCGTTAGGAGGGTTTAACACTCTCTCAACTTTTGTAACTGGAGTTGAAGTTGTATTATCCTCGAGTATTTCTTCTTGACTTATCTGTTCTGTTTGTGCCTTGACTGCAGCCAACTTGACGTGCTAAATCTATTGTTCCTTAATTTACACGAACTTTAAAGAGCGCAATGAAGATTTGATCTTCCCTCTGAATTTTATGAACTGACAACTCTAAATAATACTTAATGTCAAGATCCTTAAATATATTAATGATTATCTCTAACATTCGACAAGTTGGGAAACCGGTATTATTTAACATAATTATCATTGTTTTCTATTTGCATAATTCCAAATGGCTTCAAGTTTTTCATTTCTTGCAGTTGATTTTCCAGCTTTTCAACCTGAAGCTTCAAAGGATAATTTTCTGCTCCTTTGATCGGGAAAATATGAGGTACTGAGAAATTCAATAACTCTCCTATATTAATAGGGTGTTCAAGCACTTCTGCAATTGTTATTTCTGACATTTTTGGGACCATTGAAGCATCTCTGCTGGAATACTCGTTCATTAAAGGAATAGGTATATAGGTTAATTTGAGTATTCATTCTTTTTGACAATATTTATCATGATACAGAACACCCATCTTTGCTGGATTTTTTCTGAGTCAATGAAGTTCATTGTTTCTTTTACTGCTTACCCCCACACAGAAACGGACAGGATCTGGTAAACCTTTCTCGTGGGGGAACAAGCCACAAGGTTTCACTTTAATTTTGAAACACTGCTCAAAGAGCTTTTTGACTTCTTTATCGTGGTTCTTGCCCCTCTGGTTTGCCAGGACTGCATCTAGTTCATATGACCCTAGAAGAGTTTTATAAAGGGAAGGGGTTATTCTATTGGGTCGAATTAAATGGCTCTTAAATCTGCAAAAAAGTTGCTAGCGATCAAAACGAATTGTCGAGCTAATAGCCAATTGGCAGTAGCCCTGCTAACCGCTAGTCAGTTGTTCAACCGTCCTCACCACTTCTGCGCTCACTTTGGCATGATCCAGCAAAAACTGGACTTTATTAGTCGGCTGGAGAAACTCATCTTGACACAAAATAGCCTCGAGAGGATGAACTTTGAGTGCACTGTATGGTATTTTTTGCATTAGCAGGAAGGAAACACCAGGATGCAAACCATATGCAGATGTCACGCGATCAAAACGAATCTTCGAGCTAATAGCCAATTGACAGTAGCCCCGCTGACCGCTAGTCAGTTGTTCAACCGTCCTCACCACTTCTGCGCTCACTTTGGCATGATCCAGCAAAAACTGGACTTCATTAGTCGGCTGGAGAAACTCATTTTGAGACAAAATAGCCTCGAGAGAATGAACTTTGACAGCACTATCTTGTATTTCTTGCATTAGCAGGAAGGAAACACCAAGATGCAAACCATATGCAGATGTCACATCCTTGTGCAATTGGTCTTTAACAACGTAATACTTTACCAAAGGATCTGTACTCCTGTTGTTCCGGATTGGCAAAGAGTCGGTCAATTGAAACACAAGTGTCGTTTGTAGCTCCCTTCTGCCTTTTCCACTGGCAAGATTTGTCCGTTCTGGAGATGTTGTGGTGGCCATGTAAGAGAAGGGCAGCCATGTGATGCCATCTTCCCAGGCCTGCAGGGCAAAAGCAGAGACCGCCTTTAATAGTTCTATCGACATTAATATCAATCTAGAAAAAAGACTAGAAACACAATTTTGTATATTTTATACATTTTGGTTTCACAATCTATTAATAAATAAGTAGGATGACATACTTGCATTATGAACTTATGACATTAGGAGGTTTGACATCATGTATCTGTGGGGTGAAAATAAGAGAGAGATGAGACCCAATAGCCCAAATGCACACAACAATAAAAACACATTAAAATACAAAAAAACAAATAGGTTTACAAGGCAAAGGAATTATAAAACAAACCAGGACGTTTTGGGCCAATTACATGCCCATTCTCAACTGGAACAAAAGCTAAAAAAATGTAAAAATTAAAACAAGAAAATGAGCGTGCAACTGACCGAGGTAGGAATTAGTGCGAACTAAGTTTGCACTGTACGGTCAGCGTTGTTGGACTCCATTAGAATTTCCGGATGACTTGTGTGTTTACATATGGAGGCCTGACAATTCTACCAAACGCTCAACGATCTTAGGAAGTTAGTTGGGTTGCGTTTGCGAACTGAATAACCAAACGGAATCTGACAATTTTATTTTGACAACGCACTTTACCTATAGTGGGATCATAGGTTCAATTTTGTTGATTTCATCGATATAATTAGGAAAGTACGCAGAAGGATCGACTTACCTGGACATCATACAATCTGCCTCGCTGGCTTGCAAGAAAACTACCTTTAATCATGAGAATTTCATTGTCAAAAGACAGGCTTGATACATGTTGGCTCTCGAAGGCATTTTCACCTTTCTGGAACTGCTTTAATCCGTCTACCGACTGGAAAAACTCGAGAGAGTTTAATCATGGTTAAAGACACAGACGATCAGAAACACAAACCTTTAGAGCGTTGGTTCAAGCTATCACGTTTGAACATGTTCGAATAATAACGTTATGTTAGTGTTTTGGATCCAATTCGATACAATCGATATCGACTGTAACGTGGCACTAAAGCGTCTATATGTTTTTACCTTCGTCCATCCTCATCGATTACACTGCGGTCGCGTATTTCGCTCAAAATTTCAAGTGATTTGAGTATTTCGAGTGAGGTCCATTTCGGGTTGGAAGTGTGTCTACTCCGGGTCATCGATGGTACGAGTAAAGGTCAGCGCACGAGTGTCCTTTATTTTGAGATTTTTTCCAGTTTCATCTGTCAGGCTACTTCTATCCACCATTTCTTCTTCTTCTTCTTCTACTAACGACTAGGGCATGGCCCTGTTTGTCAAGCCTTCGAGTGCCGAGCACAAAATATTAAAAATATAATAATTATCTGTAAAGATTCGTCAAGTCAATAAAACAAATAGCAACAGGAACATTCAATCATCTTCAGGAGAAGAGAGCCAGCTTTGTGCCCATCTCTTAGGCGGTCGTCCAGGCAGTCTTTTCCCTATCCACCATTTAATCTTGGAAATTAATCTTATGGAAAACTAGCGCATTACGTGTAAATCGCGTCTTTGCTCTGCAGGCATGAGAGCATAATTTAGAGATCGCTCAACGACTTGAGTAGCGCAAGAAAGGAGCTGCAAAGGAGGTGACGTTTAATCGATTCGAAAAGCAGGCCGCGGGGACTTCCTAATTTTCCAGCCGGAGACATTCCGTTCGGAGTGCACTCAGCGCAAAAAGCACCAACTAGTCTCAACTTTATTACCTTCCAGTGACTTGGCAAATAAAATATCAATATTGAGAACTCCACGAATATCAACGATTGACTTCGGTTGGACTCACCGAGCGTTGCGAGGTTTCGCGTCTTCCCGCTACTTCTTTCGATAGTTCCCCTTCGCGCTCTTTGTTTGTATATTAGACATCTCAATCTCACTCGCAACATCTCTTTGCCATTCTGATGATTATCTAAATTGACATGATTTGCGTCAAATATGACGTGCTTTTTTCCTCATTGTCAAAATCAGATGCTGGAGTCTCACGCTGAGAATTTGGGGGGGGGGAGGTTGACGGTCCGTTGTTGAGTGGTGCCCTGAATTTTGCGCATGCCGCGCAGAATTCGGCAAACTATGCTGCCGTGCTAAGGAAAAACGCCGTATGAACATTCGAGAGTTGCCAAATTTCCTTCGATGAAATGTTTATTTTTGAGGAAAATTATGATAATTTTTTCTTGAAAATTTCAGATAATTTAGATCGAATTACAAATAAATTTACCTGAGAAATCGGTAGAAAAATATTCAAAAATTTTCCTGAAAATCAGTGATTTGCCAGAGTAAATTTGGCAACGCCTGAAGGCTCATACGGCGTTCTTCCCTAGCACGGCAGTATGAGCATCGGGGCTTAGCAGTCATCATTTCGTC